AAATTACGACAACAGATTCCGCCCCATCCCGTCAAAATATGACGCAAGGGGGGTACCTGATGCGTCAAAATTGGACGCAAAGGGACCTTTGAAAAACGTCAATATGTGACGACTCGGGAGTGAGAATGGGTTGTCTTATCTTATCTTATCTTACTTTTAAGCTCTGACTCTCATGTCACTCCCAAAATTAAAGGCCAAAGGGAAAATAAGACGTGCTTGAGGCTCAAGCCACAAAAAAGCAGGGACGATCCCCGACAGGAACCTGCTATGGTGGTCCACATTTATCGGTCCGTTGCTATTTCCTTTAGGGACGGTGGGACCCAAGTGTGGCACACTAACATTTTGGAAATATTTAGGCTATTGCATCATTATAGAGGCTTGCAAAGAATGCACAGAAACTTATGCCCTTTCAATGCAACACTTCCCTACAAGGCAATTTGTTGTTTTCTGTCACCAGCTGAGAACTGGAGGTTGGGTGACCCAAAATTCTGCAGGCAAAGGCACTGGTATGCAAGACATGTTTGATGTCCCTCTGGGATCCCTTTAATGAGAGAGTTTTAAAATGAGTTCTGCAGGGAAAGTATGTGTTAGGCGAGCACATCTTTCAAGAGAAACATGTTCCCATGTGAAAGTTCAAGGTATCGGGTGACTCGAGATTAACTCCAAATAAACTCAGAATGAACATCAGGCTAGAAACTCCCGAGGGTGAAAGCAGCCGCTGTCATCCTGGGCTGAAGAGATTGCAGGGCCGGCTGCCAGCTGTGACACTTTTACTAAAAATAGATTCATGCTGTGCAGCCACTGAGTAAATATTACCATTTCTAACGCTGTCCCTCGCTCGCCGTCTTTCAGAGGTCAAAGAAGCTTGTCCTGGACCTTTGGGAACACATCGGTGGGGGTGGAGGAGCGCTGTGAATCCAAACGTCACTCTCACTGCATCAAACTTACAGTCAAAAACTTGACGGCCCACAACACCGGGAGGTACTTCTGCAAATTTGACAAAGATGGTTCAAACCGGAACTCCTCCATTTATGTCTATGTCAAAGGTGAGACCTTGGAAACACTTTTTACATGAGGTTTTTACAGTGAAAATTTGTTCACCTTCTAGGCATTAGTTTATGTGTTTGCATCAAAATGTGTGGCCACAAATGATCAGGAAGATCTGATGCAAAGATGTCCACAATGGTAAATAAAAATGTCAAAATGTGTGAATATATTTTCACAGATTACCGACATAAAGAAAATAATATACATGTATATGTCTTTGCAGCCTTATTATAATAATCAAATTTCACTTTTTCTAAAAATGAATACATGTAGTTGTCCTTTAACATCATTTTAACTTTGGTTTTTGGTTTTCTTTAATAAGTGTTGCAATTTTTGCTCTGTGCATCAACAGTCGTAGCTTACTTTCCCCAGGCTGAAGTGCCACAAACCTCTTTAGCGAGAGACGAAATGGGAGAATGTTTCTTGTGGTTTCTTCTGGAGGTTAAAGTGTAAGCTTGATTGCACAGGAAACCCTGGTCGTTGGCTGATTTCCTGCCTCAGCTACTGTTTTCCGAAGTCTTCCCTGAAGCGTCACGTTATGCCAGTTGAAGAGACATTCACATGTGGATTTATAAACCTCTTGAAAGAGGGCAAAATGAAACTTCAGCCTCAACCCTTTTCACTCAGATGTTTATAGTATATGTAAACACAAAGTTCTTAGATATTAGTCCAAGAAATAGGTTCTGTATAAAGCTGAACGCTCTTCATTTCCTCTCCTGTTGCTCTGGGAATGTGGTTCCCACTTTTCCTGACCCGCTGGGCCTGTGTTTAGTCTAGCACGCTCTTTTCAAAGGCCCTTAGTTGTTTTTTAGATTATGATCCACGCTTACTTTTCAGATTAAAGTCCCTTTGTCGCAGTGCTAACGCTCAACCTCACACCAATCGCAGACTGCTTCGCTCCCACAGTTGCTGTTTGATGCCTGGCTGCTCATCAGGCGTTAAAACTAAAAGCTCCTTTCTGTGCTCTGCTTCCTTATCTGTGTAGAATTAACTAATCAGCTGATCTCTGTGTCGAATGCCATGACCTTTTTTTTTGCCTTCGTTCAGTCCAGTCGACCCAGCTGATGAACTCTAGCATTAATAGTAAAACTCGCCAATCTTTAGGGCGTCATGGGAAGTTGGAGACAATCCCAGCTGACTGCATGAGAATAGGAAGACGCCTGAAATTGTTGTAAATGGACAAAATTCACACCAGTATGCCAAACCTTTGTGTTCTGAGAAAACTTACATGAGTACATGGGCACAAAACACATGGAAAGAAATACTTACAATGTTTTTTGTGTGTGTGTGTGTGTGTGCAACTTTGAAGTTTAACATTTTTTGAAATAAAGGTCAGCGAGTTACATTTTCAAATGCTGTTTCTTAAGGAGTGCCACGTGTAAAATGAAATGTTACATTTTCATTATTTAGGACACTGTTCTTACATTTTGCTGAGTTTTACTAAATGTTCAATGTAAATGTTAAATGTTATATGTAAATATTAAATCCTGAATTTATATGTAAAAGTTAAATCTTAAATGTTGAAGTTTACATTAACTGTAAGTATTTCAGAATGTAATGCAATCTTTGCCGTTAGTGCGTGGCTTGTTATGACATCATTATCCTGCGACAAAAGCAACCGATAACTCATAAAGGGCCTAGCTGGAGCTGCAGCTCGTACAAGATATACAAACCTGGGCAACGTAGCAAAAGGAAGTGGGCTTGTTTTGTAGTGGTAGTGAGCATGTTTTGTAACGATCAAGTGGCGTGTTTTGTAGTCAGGGTGCATGTTGTGTAGTGGCCACAGCTGCAGCTAGGTATTATTGGCTAACTCTGCAAATGCTGCTAACGCTGCTGAAGATAGTATTTAAAATTTAAATTCAGAATGTGTTCATTGAAAATGTTACGGATGGTACCTGTGGTCCGGCAGTTTGAAGTTCAGCTTGGACAGTGGCCACCATTGCAAGTTTGATGTCTTGCAGCGAAGCATTAGCAACGTTAGCAGCATTAGCAGTTGCTTTTTGTCGCATGCTGATGACATCATAACAAAAGCTGCTCACCAACAGCAAAGACTGCGATCCATTCTGAAATACTTCAATGTAAACTTTAACATTTAGCTGCAAGATTTAGGATTTTACTTTTACATTTAGATTTACACATTTGTATTTAGAATTTAAAATTTAGACAACATTTAAGTTCAACATGTAGTAAAAATTAGCAAAATGTAAGAACAGTGAGCTATATTAAAAAATGTCAAGGGATTTTTTTACTAGAATTTTACACTCAGAAAGTAAACTAAATAATGAAAATGTTAGTGGCGTTTTTTTATATTTTATTTTACACTCGGCACCCCAATAGTTTCTGTCTAATTCTTCTCATTGACTAATTTTATTCACTAATTTTGATTGCGTTTGTCAACTTTTAGACCCAGAGCAGCCTTTTATTGAGCCCCGTGAAGCTGACCCTGAAATTTTGATGATCTACGAGAACGAGACCAGCCTCGTGGTGCCATGCCGAACATCCTCACCTGATGCTGTTGTGACATTGAAAGTAAGGCATTATGTAAAGTTATGGGTTAAATTGTTCTACTCCAGTGTGCACAACTGAAGAAATTTATTGGGGTTTGTTTAGTTACTGATTTTTAAGAGCACCACACATTCTTTGTCTTTTCTTAGGTGAATTATGATATATTTTTATGAACTGTTGTTTGATTAGTTTTGTGATTAAATTGATGATTTTGTGTACAGACTGGTCTGGGTGGCTATAAAATATAATTACACAGGGCAGGAGATACTGTTAGATTGGTTGCATGCCTGAACCACCCGCTTCGAATGTTATCATCCATTAAATGGACGTTATTAGCCATTATCAGGCCCATAGAATGGCCTCAGACTGGCTTCAGACTTTCCCGACTGTGCCGCCTAGTGGGTTCTCTGTCCCATAGAATGGCTTCAGACTGTCAGCTGGTTAGTATGAGGCATAAAGACACTAAGTTTTTTATGCAATCTGGTTAGTATGAGGCATAAAGACACTAAGGTTAATTTTAGAGAAAATGACATGGGCTACGATAAAGTAGATCGGACTCCGGTGGTAGCAGATTGTTGCATTCCAACGTATATGGCACTGGTAACCTACTAGGGCAGTGGTTCCCAAAGTTGGGGTCGGGACCCACAATGGGGTCCCAAAACATCAAGGTGGGGTCCTGAAAAGATTTTCTGAATTAATTATATTAGAAAATAACAACTAACAACATTTTGTTTGCCTTTGTTGTTACAAAGGTGTAAGGTTAGTGCGCCCAGAATTGGCAAAAATTGCATAATGAATATTGTTACTATGCTCTTAATTTTTTTTGACATGAAAACAATGTTTATGATCCAACAACAGTTGGGGGCTCAGGTCACTGTTGCTGATATTTTGAGGGTCAAAGGCTGAAAAGTTTGGGAACCACTGCACTAGGGGGCACTGTCGGGACAAGTCTGAAGCCATCCTATGGGACTGGTAACCGCTAATAATGTCCATTTAATGGACTGATAACATCCAAACCAGCTGCCTGAACACACCGTCAACACTTAATTGAACAGTAGTTTTAACACTAGGGCAGGAAAAATGTATGAGGACCCGACCCAAGCCAGAGGGTAGCACCTTTTTGATGACACATGAAAATAGGCGGAGTCAGGTCTTGAAGAGAATGATATAATGACTGTACTTCCGGAATCCGGGGTTGAATGCGTGGAGAGAGAGTAAAACGTGGTCAAGCCCAGCACTGTTGTATTGTATAGCTCTTTTCACATTCAAATATTGGTGTATTTCCTATCTGGTTATGAACACGTATTAAGGTAAACGAACATGCCTACTTTTCCTATTTGCTTTCACAATAATAGACTTCAGGATGTAAACTTTGAGAAAAAAACACGGAGTGTGTCATCTGAAAAAACTAGTTAGTTATTAATATCCAGCAGGAGATCCTTATTTGTCAACCCAAAAGAAAAGGAAAAGCGTTCCACCTAAGCACGCACTGGTTCTCACACCCTTCATGTGTTAAGACACTTTGACACTCAGAAACAGAGCGGGGACAGTGTCTTGTCTGAGGGAAGCTCAATGGCAGGAAAGGTAGTCTTTTTGTCTGCTTCCTGTAAGAGCAGGAAGGTGCTCCAAGAGTGCTTCTCCCAGAATAGACTCTAAGACTAAATTTAGTGCTTCATCTCTTACAAAACAGCAGGAAACGCAGTAGAAAAACAGCACGCAGTGTGTCCAATTCCAGGAAACGACATGAATCTCAGCATGCAAAGAGTGACCCTCGAAAGAAAAAAAATTCATGTAAAGAGCAAAAGCACTTTTTTTTTGTTCCACTCATGACTGATATCCACTTCTGCATCATTGTGCCCAACATAAAGAAACACATGAGATTCTGATGGCAAATTTTGTGCAAACTTCCTGGTTTTAGTAAATCTATGGCGCTCTTCCTTCCTCCCTTCCTTCCTTCTCATCTTTTCTCTCAAACTCCCAGACGTGGGAACAAACAGGAGCCAGCACGTACATCCCTTTTTTTGGGCTTCTTTTTTTTGTGTGGCCCATTGCAAGAATGATTACAGAGGTCACGCTCTATAAAAAAAACTAAAAACAATTAGACATTCAGTCCAACAGATGTGTGTCCCCAGGTGAGCCCAGTTAAGCATGAGTACACATTAAGTCAGGTTGAATGCATCCCTCTTCCCTCTGTGTGGTTCAGTGATGTTTACCAGACATCATAGATGTTGGTTTAACATAAATAAATGGGTTTTCTTTCATAGGTGGAGAACAAGCCTCTGCCAGCGGAGGTCGATAAAGAGAAGAAGTGGGATCCAGAGGTGGGCGTAAAGATTCCGTATAGCCACAACATTATGTATAAAATGCTCACCTGCACCACCGAGGTGAATGGGAGCCATTTCTATTCAAATTACATGTTTCGCAGCAAAAGTGAGTTCTGTTTTGATGGTGAAATTTGCAGAGAAATAACTTCCTTTGGTGCAGGCTCTTCATATATGTCTCCATTTTAATAGCTTCGTATCTTAAAAATGTGAAGCTCACCTCTGACCATGTCAAACTGCTGGCTGGGGACACTCTTAGCCTAAACTGCAGCGGTGAGACCGGCCGTAATGAGAGAATAATCTTTAGCTGGGATTTTCCAAGACTGGAAGTAAGTTCAACGTTTAAAACCGGCTTTTCTTTTAAATGGGACCATCAGGCACTGAAGTGTTTGTGTTTTTGTTTATTTTTCTCCAGGAAAAAGGGAATTACAAACTCAAGTCTCATCTGGAACGTAGTAACGTTAATTTTATGAGCAAGGTGCTGACGTTACCACATGTTACCATGAATGATAATGGAGTTTACCACTGCAAAGCTGAAGAAAACCCATCTGGTGTACAAAAAAATGTTTCAGTAAAAATCACTGTCTTTGGTGAGTGTGCACTGAATTGTTACTTATTACATTACAATATGATAATAGCGTCTCTTTTACAATGTATTTCATTGTATGTTTTTTAATTCTTTGTTGCAGAACATCCTATCCTCAACCTTTCCTATAAGGATGATCGTTCCTCAGAAGTAACAGTCGAAGATGGAAGAAAGAAAGTCGTGTTTGAGCCGAGGGTCTTTGCTCTGCCACAACCACACATAAAAGCATGGTAAGGTTCAAAGTTACAACAAGTAGAAAGTTAAAAGCCTGGCATTTCTTGAAGAAATGCATATTGCCCGATCTTTAATGAGTGTGAGAGCAGTTTATGTTGAGAAATGAGTTGCAATGAGTTGCTTTTGACCCCGCTGGAGTAAATTCACAAGCCTAGTCTCTATGTAAAGCTATCAATCTGAATTTTTAATGTCAGCAGTCACAATGCTTGTAACTGCAACTAGTTTTTAGTTATTGAAGTTAAAATACACAACAGCCATTACTTTTTTTCTCATTTCCAAAGCTGCATATAGAATAAAAGCTAATGGCTGTGGTGTCAGAATGAAGCTCAGAGCTGATTGGCTGATTCTAGTCAATCAATCACGTGTACCACAGACAGGTGGGACATGAGGGACTTGCCACACATTTTGGGCTCTGGAGAGTCTATAGATGTACCCAGTTGGTTAAAAAAGATGTCAAAAAAGAAGACAACCAATTTAATCATTTAATTTGCATATTATACAGTCTTCAAAGTCCCTGGTAGTGTGGGTCATAAAGAGGCAAGAAGTAACCAAAAACAGGAAATGTACCACCACATCGAGAAGTTAAAAGAAACTCCTAACCTTGAATGTTCCTTAGTTTGGTTTTTAAATTTATGGTCATCACCACCGAACACTTTGTCACCTCATATTTCAGGTATAAAGATGGCATCATCATTACGAACTCCAGTTGTTACAAGATGTTCGGTAACAGTTTGGCCATCAACTATGTGGAGCAGAAACATGCCGGCGTCTACACTCTGAGACTGGGCAACAAGGGCCTGGAGAGGAACCTGAGCTACACTCTGGTCGTTAATGGTAAGTCTCTAACATTAACCTGGTAATCTGTCTGTGCCTAGCCTGGAGGAAATGAAGCCTTTGCTTTGCACCGCTGCTGTTCTCGGTGCAGCTCACTGGACGGCAGGTAGCAGCTGGAGAATGAGAGGAATTTGGGGGCTTGTTGTTTCCAGGGCTAGGATTGACGTCGCACAGGCAGCTGCTGTTGATTATTGGGGCTCTTTTGAAGTGTGTGTGTGTGTGTGTGTGTGTGTGTGTGTGTGTGTGTGTGTGTGTGTGTGTG